GGGAAGGCGGCCAGGCGCAAGGACCGCGTGTTCGTGTGGGGCTTCAGCTACTCGGGCGCCCTGGGCGTCCCCAGCTTCGTGAAGCCTGATGCGGGCTGGAAGAAGCCGCGGCGTATCCAACCCACGCCGTACCGCCTGGAGACGGAGGAGAAGGTGGGCGCGGCCCGGCGAGGCTGCCGTTTTCCCCCCCGGAGCCTGGTCAGGGCTCTGCCCAGCGAGAACGGCGCTGCGGGATCGGGTTTAAGGGCTTTGCCGTGATTCACAGTTTTTTGTCGATATAACAGTGTTACTCGGGATGATTATTGGTATAACTGCAGCAGCATACAGGTTGGAAAGTATATATCTGTAGTTTTGTCAGAGGCATAAGAGAACCAGGGTGGGAAGAACATTTGCCAGAGAAAACGCGCCTCGCCTCCAGTGGCTCCGTGGCTCCTCCCACACGACAAATAGGAAGCTTGTCTTGAAAATATTACTCTTTTGCCTACGTGTTTCACTCGTTGTGCTCTGCTGTTCAGTGCAGAGAAGGTCAGAACATTCATAGAATATCTTGAGCTGGAAGGAACCCACATGGATCATCGACTCCAACTCCAGCCCTGCACAGACACCCCAGCAATCCCACCACGCACCCGAGAGCGTTGTCCAAACACTCCTGGAGCTCTCTTGGTGCTGTGACCATTACCCTGAGGAGCCTGTTCAGTGCCCGACCACTCTCTGCGGGAAGGCCTTTTCCTGATATCCAACCTAACCCTGCCCTGACACAGCTCCAGCAGTTCCCTCAGGTCTTGTCACTGCTCACACAGAGGAGAGATCCATGAGGCCCCTTATGAGGAAGCTGCAGACCCCGATGGGGTCTGACCTCATTCTCCTCCAGGCTGAACAAACCAAGTGACCTCAGTTGCTCCTCACATGGCTTTTGTCCTGGGCTTTTTTTGGCAAAAGGAATAAAACGGGAATGTTATTCTTTTAAGATCTTTTTGCTTGGTTGTTGTTTTTTTTTTGTAATCTGCTGATGCAGGTCAGCAGACAGGTCTTCCTGTTGTGTTTGAATGGGGCCAAAATAATACAAAAATGAAGATGTATGCACATGAAAACAAAAAGGCAAAAAAATTGGACTTGAATTTGCGCCGTTGTGCTTATCACAGAAGAATGTTTCTGATAATTTTTGCAAAATCGTACGTGCCTTGAATTCGGGCCGTATATGGATGTAGCTTAATGAGGGATGAATGCTGATGAACAAATAGCGTGGGCTGAAACTTGCTTTTCTAAACCACAATTGCTAACTGAATGGTGTGGGTTTTGTCTGTCTTTAAAGATATCCTCTGCTGCCTGTGGTTATGGATTCACACTGCTGGCCTCTAATACCACGGACATCACCAAAGTGTGGGGTACGGGGCTCAACAAGGATTCCCAGCTTGGATTCCAGAGGAGCAGAAGAGATCAAAGTAAGGATTGGAGTGTTTTAAAGATTTACAGGGTGGGGAGAGGGGGGGCACAAGAGGGCACTGCAGGATACCTGTAGTACAGGAAACTTCAGTTTGAAGGTGTGAAAAATATCGGGAGGCTTTGATGCAGTGCTGGGCTGTGCTTGTTGTTTTTTTTTAAAGGGATCTTTTTCTTGAACTTAACTGTGTTTTTCTGTGCTTTGTACTTGGTCAGGATTTGCCTCTGTTCTATACACTGCACTTACAGAGTTTAGTTACATCCAGGCTGGAGTGGAACTATTTATTCTGGAAAATGTGGATGTTGGTTTAGGGGTGGCTTTGAATCTATAGTTCGATAGTAGACAATGTTAGGGGCTAGTTAATTAATCGATTTTGTCAGGGTGGTTTGCTCACTTCTGTTGCCTATGCACTTATAAACTAAATTCCTTTCCCACAGAGCTCTTTTTATACAGTCGTTTGGTTGGTTGGGTTTTTTTCGGTTGTTTTGTTTGTGAAGCTGTAGGGCGTTTTTTTAAATTATTTTAATAGCAAGTTGAATTTTGAAGGAAAACCACATTATTCAGTCATTCTGTCTTATTCCAGGCTCTCAAACCATTTAAGATAATGATTTTTGTGCAGAAAATGGACACTTTTCACCAAAGGCAAATAGGAGAAACACAAACTTTCATCATAAAATGGTTGTCTCTGAAGACATTCCTCCATAAACGGTCGAGGAAAATCATGTTAAAAGCAGTTTTTATAATGTATAAGAGTGTAATGCATCTGATATGGGCAAAATCTTAAACTTTTTGGAGAAGCAAAGAAAATTGCAGCTACAGTGCAGCATGCTGAGGTTTGCAGTGATGCTGCTTTGTGCTGGCACGCTGGATAGATCCCCAGCAGTGTGTGTGCACAGCAAGTGTGAGCTTAAACAGCAGCGGCAAAATGCAGGGGCTGGAAAAGCCTCTCCTGACTTCTGCTTTTAAGGGTTTCAGCTCTTGCTGTGTCTTCGTTCTGCACGTGCTGATGTCTCAGGTGTGTCTTGTGGTTATCTTGCCTGTCATCTGACCTGGAGATTACTTTTACCAGAGAATCCAGAAATAGGTTAAGTAGTTTTGCAGTTCAAGCCCTGCTAAGTAAGAGGGTTTGGCAGGATCTGTTGAAAGTGGGAATTCAACAGTGGGATTGCTACTGCTCCTTACTTCCCTCAGACAAGCTTTCTTTTGGGATGTGCTGCTCATTACTGTTTTACAAACTTAACTTTGTTACCCACTGGTTCCAACACTGTCTCTGTAGAGACAATGCTTTATTTCCAGGGGAATTTGTGTCTGACTTTTAGATGGTTGTATCTGAACTACTAATATTTCATTCTTATCCTCCTCTTCCTTAGCCACCTCATTGCCTCTATTCTTCAAAATCCCTCAACCATCAGTGATGATTACCACAGATCCTAATAGCCTGTGTTGCACTGCTGGAAGGAACAGAGAGAGAGGAAAAGATTTTTTTGCTTTGTGACTTCCACGTGTCTTTAGACAGAGACTTGGCTGCCTTTCAGCTCCTGCTCTATTGCATGGCAGGCACCCGCCATTCACAAACATCCTGTTGTCACATCCAGTGCCTGCCTGTCCTCACATCCAGTACTGTCTTACTGCAAAAGGGCTTGTGTAGATTTTCTAGGGTTTTTTTTAATTATTATTTTTATTGAAGACAGTGAGAACCAGTTAAAGCACTGCTGCATGTGAGCAAACTATTTATTTGAGTCCTCTGGAATTTGATGTCACTTGTTACAGTGACTTTCTTTGATATCAAAGCTTTTTATCTCCCCTTAACCTTTTCCTTAGTACTGATTTATGTTTTGCTGTTCTTTTTTGCTCCCCCCCCATTGACTATAACTGATTACATATTCTTCAAGTTACTAAATCTTTTTCAAGTACAGCATGTCATTTTCTTTCATAAATGTTAGATCTCTTATTCCCTATGGAGCTAGCCTAGCTAGTCTTTCCTGCATTCCTTTTTTCTGAAAGAGCCTTTAATCTACTGTTCTTTAAATATAAAGCCCTAAGATTTTTTTTTGTTCACCTTTCCTCCTTTTTTTGTTGTTTGTGATCCTTGCTCTTGTATCTTGTTTGCAATATGCCCATTTTCACACAGTACTTAGTTTGTGCTTCGTGTTAAGTTCTGGTAATCCAGCCTTATTCATCAAAGTGGTTGAACATATGGCTGAAAGCCTCAGTTTCTCAATTCTGCCACCTGAAGCCTTAACTCAGCCTTTAGGTGTGGTGGACCTTTGATTAGGCAGTGATATTGGCTTGAGCCTTCACCATGGCTTTTACCTTCTCTCTTTCTCTGTAATAAATTTCTGTCAGCCTCTATCTTGGCTTTCTAAAATGTATCTGCTTTTGTAACAAAGGAGAAGTGAGTATGTGAATGTACAACGGAATCAGCAAATATATGCTAAATTTACTTTATGGAAGCTACTGACTTAACATTTTTCTGTCTTCATTAAGCTAAGGGCTATGATTATGTCTTGGAACCATCTCCAATTCCATTACCACTGGAGAAGCCGCAGCAGACTCGAGTCTTGCAGGTGTCCTGTGGGAGAGCCCATTCCCTGGTCCTGACAGATAGCGAAGGAGGTATAATGTTGCTTGTGCTGTGGACAAGGGATGCCTGACTATGCTTTTATTAAGAGCTCAAAAAAAAATTGATTTCTGTCCTTTAGAACTAGACCGACCCCAGGTGGGCTGTCTGCACTGTAAATGGAATACAGGCAGCTGTTGGCCTTTGTGGGATTGCTGCTGCAAGGGAGAAATGTGAGCTCTGCTTGGCTCAAACTGTAAATGTGTTGGGAGCTTTTTCAGTCTGAGGTTTGTTTATCTTGCCCCAGGCCTGGCTGAAGTGCAGCCTGTTTGTCAGTTCACTCAGACATTTTTGAATGCAGCTTTGGATGACTATGCCAATACTCCTGTGTTACTTTCCCCTTGGAGCTCTGGAGTGCTGCATTAATACAAGCAATTAATTAATTAATAGCCCTTTATAGAGACGATCCTGTTTGTGAATTATCTCTCCATGTCTTTGGGAATTCTGTGGTGCAGTGGCTTCAGTGCTGCACCAGGCGATTCAGTGCAGCTTCTCAGTGGGTGAGCTGGTTGGTTGGTTGATTTACCATTCCAGTGGGAACACTGATCTATTTCTGAGTCTCCTTGACAACGCAGGATGAACCAGGCAATTCCTGACAAACAGCCAATGAATGGGCTCCAGGTACCGCTGCTGTGCCTGCAACAATATTGCTGGGTTTTGTTGATGAAAATGGAGTCGGTCACTTAAATTAAAGTGGACTTGCTTTGAAGAAAGCTTATGCCATTTTTCTGTTACAGTGCTCTCCCTTTCAGACTGAGAATGGCATGAAAATATTTTGTGGACCTGAAAAGAGGCTTTCAGGGGATTGGACAGTAATAAAACTAATGCATTTTATCACTGTTTTTCAGTTTTCACAATGGGAAACAATTCTTATGGACAGTGTGGCCGGAAGGTTATTGAAGATGAAATTTACAGGTGAGAATTGAAAGATCCTGAACTTTTTTAATGTTAAAAACAATTGCATGAAAACAACTCTGCAGAAAGGCCTAAGGTGGGAAAAGTCTGGTAGTATAGGCATGCCATTTGAGATTAAGGAGTCTGAGAACAGGCTTTTGTGCTGCAGGCGTCATACAAGTGGCCTGGCTTTGAACCTATACTGGGCACTAATGTTCTGGTGACCACATTCACAAAAGACAAAAGGATGGTCAGCATGGGACAGTTCTCACAGGGTGTAGAGAGGAAACCCAGCCTTCATAAATTGCTTGAAGTAATTGGTGTTAATTAGTTGGGCTTTCTCCCTTTAATGGCTCAGAGCCATGTGCAATTCCTGAGGGTGTTAGAAATGCCATTTAGTTATGAAAGAGGTATGCTTTTGTTGAATCTCTGTTGTAACTGCCTCTGAATCTGTAGTGCTTTTCCTTCACAGGGATTTTTGGTGGGCCACACCAAAGCATATGCTCAAAATGCTCTGTAAGATAGCAGTGAGCAAGTGGATAGTGGGAATGTGTAAGTGGAAGTTTCTGATCCCTGGCAGGACCTAGAAGAAATCTTGCTCATTGCTCTCTCTGTGATCCTCAGCACTTGGAGTGTAGAGTTTGAGAAAATAGCTGAAATTAGGTAGCTTTTGTTAGCCTTGATACTGCAAGTCAGTCATTGGATTGTTCATAATTCCTGGTATTGTGAAATAATGACAGGGATGTTAGCACTACACTGCGCTCTGGAATATTTGGTTAATCTCTAGTTAAGTGTAGTGTTTATATAGGTGCTGCAGTATTATGTAGTGTCTGTGCTCATTCTAGACTAGGGACCATCTTTTGAGGATTGCTCCTACTCCCTAATTCCCATGGAAAGTTATATTTAAGGAGTGACAGTTCTTAATTTCTTAAAGAAGAGAATGTAAAATTATGTTCCTTCTTCATGCAGTTATTTTGCATGTGGAACTACATGTGGACAAATCTCTTCTTGAAATAATAAAGTGGCTTTCAGTAAAGGCAGGTTTACCTTTGCTTTTTTCGGTTGCAGTCCTCTGAAATCTTCTGTGTTGTCTTTTTTCTTCTCGATGGTTGTTTGGTGTCTAGTGAAAGCTATCTCATTCATCAGCTGAAGGAGTTTGACAGCAGAGTTGTCCAGGTAAGAGGATCATCTGAACTCAGTTCTGAAGATGGATTGAAAGCTGAGCTCAGAGGGTGGCAGTCATTGGCATGAAACCAAGTTGAAACCGGTAAGGAGTGCTGTATCCCAGGGGTCAGTACTGGGTCCAGTCCTGTTTACTTTTTCCCTAGTGGTCTGGATCACTGAGTGTACACTTATACACTTAGCAGGTTAACAGACGGCGTAAACTGTGAGGAGTGGCTGATAAACCAGAGGATGGTGCTGCCATCTAGAGGCTGGAGAATTGGGCCTATGTGAACCTTATCAAGTTCAGCAAGGGGAGGGGCCAGGTCCTGCCACTGGGTAGGAGCAGCCCCAGACACCACTGTGTGCTGGGGATGACTGGCTGTGAGGAAAAGGCCCTGGGGGTTCTGGTGGACGCCATGTTGACCATGAGCTGGCGGTGTGCCCTTGCTGCAGAGAAGGGAAATGATACCCTGGGCTGCATTAGGAGGAGCGTTACCTGCAGGTCAAGGGAGGTGGTTCTTCCCTTCTGCTCAGCGTTGTTGAAGTACAGTGTCCATTTCTGGGCTTGCCAGTACAGGGAGGTCATTCTGACACCTCATCTCTTCCTGTCCTGATTTCTTGTTCCTCTTGTCAATTTTATATTGCTTGTTTTAGTTTGAATTTTGTCTTTCCCTTTTCAAAAGTGAGCTGTGAGACCATCACTTAGACTAGCCAGCATTTCTCTAGGGCAGGTTCCCTGGAGAGCAAGGGACTGCAGAGCAGCAGAAATGCCACTATGCCTGCCATGGCTGCAGTATTCCCAGGAACAGTTTGTTAGTATATCTGTGCCCTTGTAGACATACTCTATGGGCAAACATTGCTCCTGTTTCAAGGAAGGGTCATTCAGTTAGGTTTATCTGATGAGACTGTGGCATGGTACAACCTGAAAATGTTTTGAATTAGGCTGGTAAACTTCTGTTTGGACTTTTCATGGTTTTATTTTTTCGAGAGGGTTGAATACTTGGTACCTGTTTGTACTTTGATACCAGTTATGTGCTTGATATTGGTAGTGCCTCTCTTACCTTGTTGATTAAATCCCTTTAATCTTTGGCTAATTTTTAATGTCTGCTTTTGAATAACTTTTTGCTTGGCTTTAATTCATGCCAAGCCTGTGGCAGACATGATTGCTAGTTCAACATAAATGTAGATTTGAGAACAGCTGTGTACCTAGAGCACTTACATGGCAAGGAATCAATAGCAGTTTGTAGCTGGCATCAAGAGCCATGTCGTTAGCACTCTGGGAAAGGAGAGCTCTTATTTACCCTTTGCTGTTTTATTGTGTTGTACTGCTGAATTGAGCTTTCTTTCCCTGTTGGATTTCAGAACAAATCAACTGCAACATCACTTTCCATCAAAAATATGCTGCTGGTTTTGGCGTTGTATCTTGCTGTTCAGTGTTGTGTCCTGCTGTTCTTGGTCTTCCCCATCTGTAGAGCCATTTGATCAGGAGAGAAAGGTCAAAATCTGAAGTGATGGGCATTGTAGAGGCTCAGTTTATCTGCCAGTAATGCTTCGTTACATTGAGTCTGAACACATGACCTTTCCTGACCAGCTCTGACTTTTTGTTTGTGTGCAGGTAGCGTGTGGGCAGGACCACAGTCTGTTTAGAACCAAGAAAGGTTCAGTCTATGCATGTGGATGGGGAGCTGATGGACAGACAGGTAGGAGCTCAGCTCAGTTTGCTTTTCAGGGAATTGATGAATATAGCAAGTTGTCACAATTCACAGCTTATGATGTGTATTTGTCGTGCATGTGTGGACAGAAAGGGGCTGGTATGTTTCCAGCTGTGTGCAGATGTTCTTGGTACTCTTGTATAACCAAACTGAGACAATCCAGTTCATTTTTGGAGGAGCTTTAGGATGCCACGCAAGGCAATCCAAGCATGCAGTCTGAGGAGAATGTGTGCTGTTAAAAGCTTCTGAGGGGATGTGGAAGTGACATGGGCAGTTTAGCTCCCCAGTTCTGTGCAGGCGTTACCTTCCTGATTCTTGTTTCAGGATCTGTTTTGCTTCTTGCTCTTTTGAACTGACTAAGCTCTTTGGCAGCCTCTGCTATCTTAGCATGGGATCTTTGGGCAGGCACTTTTTCTGGTGGCTTTTGCTGTCAGAGAACTTCCTCACATTCATTCCTGCTGTTTAGTCCTGCTGCTCCCAAAGCTGTGTTCCTCCCATGGTTTTTTGTGCCAATATGCTGTAGCCCATTTTTCTGTCATCTACATTCTGGTCTCTTTTCCAGGCAACAATTTGTCGTGTAAAGCATTTGCTTCCCAGCCTCTTTTGCCACTTGCTGTTGTCTAACTGATTGCAGTGTGCTGTCGCTCATGGCTCTCCTTGCAGAAGACAGGATGCAGCCAGCTTGTGAAACTTCATCTCTTGTCAGGATATCTGCCTGGCTTTGTTACTGTTCTTCAAACACTTTGGTCCATGCAGACAAGAGAGATGAGACTGTTTTCCAGGTGTGATCGTATAAAGTTGTTGTGTACTCCAGAGAGGTAGTTTTGACTACTGGAAGTGGTGTTTATGGCTGCTTGTCCATTGAAGCTAAGCAGTATGGACAGAAAGATGTCTTTTGGAGGATGCCTGATTTTGTTACATGACAAAATGGTCCTATGCAGGCGTTAAAAGTGCATCTGGAAAAAATTCTTCATCATCTCTCAACTTTTTTTTCTTTCAGGTCTTGGACACTACAACATCACCAGTGTTCCTACTAAGCTACATGGTGACATTGCTGGAGTAAACATTATCCAGGTCTCTTCCTATGGGGACTGTTGTCTGGCTGTTTCGGATGAAGGAGATGTCTTTGGTTGGGGAAATTCAGAATACTTGCAGTTGGCATCTGTCACAGAAACCACACAGGTCAGTTGGCCTGGGAGTGTGTTTTTACATGTTTCAATTCAGCTGCTGTGCACAGAGTTAAAGATGTTGCACTTATCCCTGCTCTGGGTCCTTCTGACAGCAGTGTAAATTGATATAAACTAATACTAATAACAGACTACTTTTACCTATGCTTATAAAACCAACCTATCTGACATGTTTGTATAGTTTTAGGGCAGTATGTTTCCCAGCTTTAATAGGCAAAGGCTTCTGTCTCCTCACCCCAGTTTGTTAGTCGAAGAACTCCATGAGACCCAGCTCAAGCGCTTTTGCGAGTTTCAGGACAGGAATTAGTCTTTTGGCTGGCTAATCTAGAATTTCGAATGGACATCCTTAGTAGGTTTATAACTGAGTCTTAAACAAATTCCAGTGTCTCACAGATAAAAGTTTTTTTGCAACATACTTACATGGGACAAAAATACAACGCTGACTTCACACTAGGCATTGTAGTACTGAACTCATTAGGCAGATGGTCTCATCTTACAGTTAGTTTAGGAAGTGGAGTGAGGGAATTAATACTCAAGCTACTCTTGGCAGAAGGCTAGGAGCAGACAGTTGCATTAGAATGGCTTTAGCAAAATTTTAGAAACCTTTGTTTCCCATGCCTCTGCTGATGTATCCTTAATGTAGGGCTAAATCCTGAGACCTGTAATGCCTGAAAACGGTTATGCTGTGTAGTAGTTTTCCTAGCTGGATGCTCAATGGAGGTCAGAGGGGTCTGAAATGGATGAATGGCAAAAACAAGAGTCTTAGCTACAATATAGATGAGGTCCAAATTGTGGAATAGCAGAGCTGTGAAATCAGAGACTGCTCTTTACATGTGTCAAGCTGTCTATGTTTCTGTTGTGTTGGACTGTACCAAATAAGTGCAATTTTCTTCTAGTGATTTTTCTTCAGAATGTTCAAAAATGTCACTGCAAACCAAATTTTAGTGATCTAGTCCATCGTGAAAACTTGCAAACATGTTTACTTATTGACTTCCCTGTTGTGTCTGACTTGGAGAACCAAGGGATAGAAGCAGACATTAGGCATTCCTAGCCTTGTTGTCTTTCATATAAGCTTTTCAGTGGGTAACCTTTTCCACCTTGTCCTCACCTTAATGAATTTCATGTAGTTTTTTTTTTTAATTTTTGGACTTGCACTTACTCTGTTATTCAGGCAATAAAGGTTATGTCAGGAATCCAGTGTATGTAAGCTCTAACCAGAACTAGAGAATAAGTTAAAATGTGTGTCTGGTTTGCAGTTTACCTTGTGTCTGACAACTCCTCTGCAATCTCATACAGGTGAATGTTCCCAGACATTTGCCATTCAAGATTGGGAAGATAAAGGAGGCTGCCTGTGGAGGGACTGGCAATGCTGTGCTAACAGGTGAGTTCACTTCTAGGATCATTCACTTTAGTGCAAGGCCATGCAGTAGGTGAATTGTAACATCGTGGAACAAACATGTTGTTTTCTGGAAATAGGTAAGTACTGTCCATGATGAGGAGAGCTGTGAGACTGAGAAATCTGTGATTTAAGAATGTACTAGAGGAGTTGTTTTCACTAGTACAGAGCATTGCTTCCAGTGTGTGCCGTTTTGAGAGCTTCTGCAGACTAGAACAAGAGTATGGCTGCTGTTGCCTGTCACACGGGCTGTGTGTGGCCTTTGATGAGTATGGATATAGGGAGGAAGTAAGGCCACACTTCAGACTCCATATGAGTCTGACATGTTTATAAATCTTGATAAACTAGGACAGAAAGTAGAGAGTTCTGAGAACAGTGAAAGTCTGCAGCAGTTTCTTAGTGACTGTACCTTGGATTGTCAGTGCTGGGGAGCACAGCTAGAGGCTTGCTGAGTGAAGTAATGAGGGAGGGGATTGTACTGCTTTTATGAAGGATTATCTTGAGGAAGATGTTCATATTTATGATGGAGTCGTGGTGACCAGACATTTGAGCTTCTAGCGTGAAGGGAACAGAGCTAGCTGACATAGAAACTTACTCTGTCTTACACTGTCCAACTGCTGACTTTCTCAAGCACCCAACTTAAGGCAGAATGCCAGGCAGAGTGATGAGCCTACTGGTGGTTTGGGCACGCCTCAAAGGAGAAAGCCATGATAATAAACCCTCAACCTCTATCCCATCAGTCAGTAAGCTGAATTATTTTATCCAGCCCACACTGTCTTGGCATTATTTCCCTATGAAAGTTTTGCCTGGGAAGCTTGACTGCTTACACATCTTAGGAAAAAACTGAGGCATTTGGATGAGAATGCATTGTTTGCAGATTTGAAATAATCAAAAGGTGTTAGACTGGTCTGTGAGAAAGGAAAATATTGCTTGGGTTTTGATTAACTCTTGGTTGTGGCATGAATTTCACAAGCACAGACTTTCTTACAGAATGTGTTCTTATAATACAGAAGAAGGAAATATTTTTGTCTGGGGATATGGAATTCTTGGGAAAGGACCAAACCTAACAGAGACAGCAGTGCCAGAGATGATCCCACCCAGCCTTTTTGGCTGGTCAGACTTCAATTCAGACATCTTTGTTGCTCATATTCGCTGTGGACTCGGCCAGTTTGCAGCACTTACAAGTAAGTTTCTCATCCTCCTGTCGTGGGGAAGTCAGATTGCTGTGTTATTGGCAGAAAATAAGACAAACCAAAAGAAAAAAAAATGAAAAACACAAAAAAAGCACCCATCTTTCTTGAAACTGAAAGCACACTGGAATGCAGCAGGGGGGCAGGCAGCAGGTTTCTGGCATACATACTGTGCTAACTTACGCATTAATTAAGAAAGTGTTATTTGTCTAAAGCAAACAAAAAAACTTTTCTCAAACAGGAAACCTGGAAAGTTTTTCCATTTCTCTGTGCAGAATTTGTGCACTTTAGGAGCAGCACGAATTTATAAATGATAAATGAACAAATTAAAACTGAGTCTAAGTGGAGCTGGATGTCAGGGTTTCTTGGCATTTCTGACCAATTGAGTTAACAGCCCGATGTGGGCAGACCCAGACATTTAATATGCAAAGGGTATCACACTGTGTGTGCTCTGTGCACCCTGTGTGGGTTCCCAGCCTTAGTAGGGTTTGGAATTTGAAAGTCATTTGACATCAAGCAGCAGAGGGCAGCAGCACAGACACCCACAGTGAGTGTTTGTGGAGGGGCACTTCAGTGCCGGTGCTGTGTCGTTTGGGGCAAGCGGCGTATGTGACACTGTCAGTCTTGTTGCAGGGTGCTTGTAACTGGGCTCCCCTTAGTGTTCAGGAAGTATTAGAAACCATGTTTTGATTAAATTATACATACTTTATAGATTGTGCTTTGGTTGTCTCTGCAGTGGGGCTGATCCAAACACTTCCAAGATCTACATATTTTCCTGAGGAGCATAAAACTTTTAACTCTGTTAAACACAAGTTTTTGCTTTTCCCCAGCTGTCGTTAGAAGGTCACTTCTGTCAGGCAGCTGAATAAGCAGTCCCCAGGTGATGGCTTGGGACAGATCTCACTGTCTTGCTTACTGGATTTGCTCTGCTTATAGCTGATATGGATCAGTTCCAATTGTCCGACTTCCATCATAAATGATTAATTTCTCAAATGGTTCCCTGGAATTTCTTCTGCTGTGCTCTTTCTTCAAATAAAATGCTAAAGCAATAGCTGTAAGAGGGGGAAACAAAGACTTGTGCACAGAACTTGTTGCTTGTCCTGCTCATTAGGCATTTTCCCCAAACACAAGTACATTTATTGTACCTTGAAGTAAATTGGTGGCTGTCATACTGCTTGTATAACAGAAGCACTGTAGCCACATTTGCCAACATCAAAAATAGAATTTGTCCTTTTTAATGTCTCTGTTCTTTTCTATTATTTTTTTTCTCCTGTATAGACAGAGGAGAACTGTTTGTATGGGGCAAGAATCTAAGAGGGTGCCTGGGAACTGGAAGAATGGAAGACCAGTATTTCCCGTGGAGGGTAAGGATTGTGATATTAATGCCAAGAGTATATTCTTTGGCTAGTTTTTTTGTGTGGTTTTGTTGAGTAATTCTGAAAGAACTGGAAGTCTAAGATGACTGTAGAAGTGCTTTGTTTTCCAGAGGTCCTTGTGTAGCCTCCTTAGGGATGGAGGTATTCAGTAAACCTTTTAGTCTACTATGCCAGTAACGATTTCAGGTCCCGAAACAGCATCTGGTGCTGTGCCACCACATCTGAACAGTTCTCATCTCCTTCCTGTTCACCATCATCTACGTGCTGCCCTTACTGCCTCTTCCTTCCTCTTCACTTTTGTATGTGCTGCAAAGAAAACCACCAGTATTGGTCATCTGTCCCAGAAGAAATTACTTATCTAAATTAGGTGAACATTTTGGTCATGGTGCTCAGACTGTCATGGCTACAGGTCTGCATAGTGGTGGGCTTCCTTCCCAGCTGTGATGGTGGGTCACTGGACTGACTGTGAGGTTACAGTAGGAGATCCTTATTCAACTGTTTTCATAGCTGTTGTATAGCACTTCCAGTTCTACTCCCTTCCCTCAGATGGCTCTGAGAGCCAGACTCAGTGAATGTAGAAGAGTCCTTGGCTCTGGAGTTCAGCCTAACTGATGTACCTGGTCTCCATGAAGGCCAAGTAGGAGAGGAGGTAGGCAAGCAGTGGGACTACTCTTGACTTCCTGTTCATGTGTCTGAGCTTGCAGTGGATGTGTTTCTGTAATATGTTTTCTCCTCCTTGTAAACATAAATAGAATTAGACCAGCTCTGGAACATTTGCCTACAATCACATTGCTGTGGCTGAGTGGAATTTCTGAATTCTCCAAGTGTGGCACATCCAGGTTTCCCTATGTGTGGATGTTGGGGGTTGTGCTCCTTCAGACAGCCAACTCCTGTCTCACAGTGCTATGGCAATGTGCCGGGATCCTTGTCTGTGACCTCCTCTTGTCCAAGAATTGGCCAGCTGTCCTCTCTCTTAGCTCTAAGGAAAAACTTGCTTTTTTAGCCTCTGCTTTCCTCAAGTTTGAGGTCAGCTTTAAGTGAAGGAGCCTGTAATTTCAGGAGTAAGGAGTTGGTCTCTTAGTCAAAGCACAAACTGCCTTAGGCTGAGTTGAGCCTTTGCCTTGTTCCATTTCTCACTGATGAGAGAAGAGGCAAATCCTTGTGGTGCTTGGGCAGATGCTCTTCCTGCTCTCTGTTCAGTCATGCTGCTTCTGCTGCTGAACAGATGGGCTGAGGCTACAGTCTCAGTCTGCTAGTGAGCCAGCTCTCCTGTCCTTCCAAAGCTTTATGTGCTTCTGTGGAGGAAAAAGAGGAGTATTTCACAGCTCAGTGCACAAGCATGCCTGGTGCTACATCTTGTTCTTTCTGGGTTTTCAAGTTGGCACTTCCATTGGTACAAGGCCCTGTGAAACCAGCTGGCATGTTGAGCAGAAGAGCTTGAGAAATAGTATATATCAGGTGCAAAGTACTAGCTTGATAAATAACCCATTCTCATGTATCTCATCCAGGTGACTGTACCCGGTGAGGTGGTGGATGTGGCATGTGGAGTTGATCATATGGTAAGCTTGGTCAAGTCTTTTACCTAGCAATACTGCTGGGCCTCAGCACCATGCCAGGGCGATGGAGGGACTTGGTGATGAGCTTCTTGGAAAGGAAGACTCATTCTGTGAAGCCAAGTGATTGTGAGCAGAGACAGCCATAGCAGTGCCTGGGTGTGTTGTCATCTCTGCATTGTTGAAACACTCTGCCCTGGCTGCAGGAAGGAAGCACATTCCTTGAGGAGTGTGGAAATGCAGAGTGTTCTGGCTGGTTCATGATGAGCTCCCTGAGAATCTGAGGCCCAGCCCCAAGCTGGTGAGCCTCCCTGTGCCTGAGGATGAAGAGCATCTCCCTCAAGGAAGGCTGGCATGGCCTGAAATCTACAGCAAAGGACATTGATTTATGGACACTCCCTGTCACCAGCTCTGGGGTGTCAGTGTTGAGCAGAGCCAAACTATTTCTCAAGGGGAAGGGGTTTTTTTTATAGCTGTTTTTTATGTGGAAGAGAGGTTTTGCTGGCTCTTGAAGCCCATCACAGCTGTCCTGACTGGCCACCCCGAGCTGCACTGTGCCTGGGCTGCTGGCCCATGCGGAAACTGGATGCACAGCTGGATACAGTGTGGTGGCCTAAAGGCAGTGGTGTGTCCATGGGCTGTTGCAGGCTTTCTGTGTCAGCACTAAAGGCTGAACAGCCGAGGAACACATTCGAAGAGTGAGAACCTGTTTTCAGGGGAAAGTACTGTTAAATAAGACAGCAGGGAAAGATCAGTCCCAGGCTGTCTGCACTGCTGTGGCTGTGGGAGGACAGATAGATGGTGACAGAAGCCCATCTAGCCTATCATGGGAGGGAGGCTGGAAACAAAGTCCCTGCTCAGCTACCTGCCGACTTGGTGCTCAGGCATGGATCTCAGCAGTGCTCGCTACTCCTCGGGTACTTTTGTCTCCTTGTGCTGATCACACAACAGAGTCTTTGATTTTTTCTGGGGGAGTCCCTGCACTCTTTCTATTTTCAGAGGTATGGCAGCTCTTAGTTGCAGTTAGCCGGAGTTTTCAGGATTGCCTAGCAGGGGAAGGAGTCTTAATGGGTGAGAAGCAGAGCCTCATTCCTTGGTACCTTCTTATCAGTAAGGTGATGGAAATAGGATACAACAGCTGTATGTACCTGTAGCAGGCACTTACCAATTTCACATCCAAGAATGGGAAACTGTCCCCTGTGAAACACTCCAAACATCAAGCAGAATTGTCTTTTCTCTCTGTGGGGTACTTCTGCTGTGCAAATTATTTTGTCAAAATCCAAGCTGATATGTTTTAAATAAAGTGATTATAAAGTCTTTATCAGTAGTAATAGGAATATTCTTGAGCATGACTTCATACATGAGCCTCTCTGTCTTGCACTCTGCATTTAAACTTCAGCATTTTGGTTCGCAGTGATGTGGAACAACTTCAGTCAGCTGAGCCACCTTCACACCTGCAGAACTGATACTTGTTGTAGTCAGGCACTGCATCTGTGGCCCCAGGGACACCACATACTCACATTTTGGCTTCCTTAGATGAAAGTCTGTACCAAACTCAGGGTTTAAACTTTACCTTGATGAAGTAAGTCTTGAAGGGCTTTTCATAAAATACAGGAAAGGTGGACCAGTGTACGCAGAAATAGAGACACATCTCTCAGTTCTTACTGACGTTCCTGTGAAACAGGTGTTGCTGAGTGGGATGAGGCAGAACAAGCAGAAAGCTCCTGTAAAATTGGTAGACCTTCACTGCTGTGAATTCTCATTTAGTTAGCTTTAATTTATACCTGATTCTACATGTGACTTGGGCAACTTGTGCTGTCCAAGCATGTCTTGTTAGCCTCATGGAAGTAGCTGTACCCTTTTAATACGAGGAGGCTTATTAAAGCATTGAAAACAAATTCAAAAACTCTTGTAAGAAAGGTGTTACAAACAATTCCCGTCAGGATGTTGCTGTTGAGGAGGGCTGGTTAGTGCTGGGCTCTCAGCTGCTCTCATGCACAGCTGTTACCCAATGCACCTTGGGGCTGGACCTTCTGCAGAGCTGGGATGAGTTAGTGCCATGTCATACCTTGTTGTGTAGCAATCTTGCTGTGCAATAAATTGAAAATTCTGCGTGTTAATGAGATGCCAGTGAGGTCTTGAGCCCTAAATAGAAGTGTTGTATGGCTTAATGCAGTGGGGGCATTTGCGCTTTCATTACAGTGTCTGTGGGATTCTCAGACCCTGCTTGGTGGGAACCAGGTTAGTGGCGCTGGATCTGCAGTTCATCAAGACCAGGACTCACCTTTGTTTTGGTTACAGTGGCAGGGGGGCAATTCGACCTTGGTCAGGTGCAGCCCGAGCTGCTCTGTTACCATCTCCCCTGCATCAACAGGACAGAGGGAGAAGATCTAAAGGAAAGCATGTGGGTTGGGATAAGGACAGGGCATCACTTACACGTTATCATCATAAGCACAACAGATTCATGTTGGAGAAATTATTTTATTGCTCAGGAATAAGAAGAAATCTAAAAGTGCCTTTCCCATACCTTTCTCTTCTTCCCAGGCTCATCCTTAATCCTGGTTTTTCTCTCTCCTCCCTTTCCTGCACTGACCTTGGTGTCTGCATGGTTGTCTCTCACAGATTCTCACTCTATCCTGGCTGCTGCTGTGCAGCAGTTTTTCCCCCTTCTAAAGTGTGTTCTCCCAGAGATGCTGCCAGCATTGCTGATAGGCTCGGTCTTGGCTCAGAAAATGAAAATACCCTCTTCACCCTGCCACCCCTTACCTGTTGAAGGCAGGCCCAACCTGCATGGCTTGTGCTCCACCCACACGACTGAGGGGCCCTGCCATGCTGGGGTGACCCCAGGTCACCACCAGTGTGCACTGCAAGGCAACTTTGTATCATTTTGTCCTTCAAAGTATGGTAAAGTAGCCCAAAATACACCTGCATTCCTAAATATACCTGCAGCGAGGGGGGTGGGGGCCAGGGATGCACATGGGGAGCAGCTCAAATTAGAGCTAGAATAACCTACTTGATTTGGCATTGATTACACGAGTAATTCGCCCTCTGAACAGCACCATGCCGGCACGTTTGGCTTAAAATAGCCCAGAAGGGCACAGAGCCCTGTGCATGTACAGCTCCGAGCACAGCAGTGGCTGAGGGCTAAAGGAGCTGCAGGAGAGATGGATGAAAGGTTCAAGCCCAAGTGCCCTGTCCACACCCTGCCATCCTGCTGGCAATTTCCTGCTGGAGAGCTGGCCCCAGCATGGCCCCTGGGCCACCTCGTGAGCCCCTGCACAGCAAGGCTGGGCTCATCTTGTCAGCAAACTGCCCAGCTGGGAATAAAACACACGAGTGCCTGTAAGACAAAGATTATCTTGGGCACTTGTTGCATTACAACAGATTCTTTTCTCTGCAGGATCCTTCAAAAACAAATGACTCAGAGAACTACTAATTAGCCTGCAGCATTCAAAATAATAACTCCTAAAATAATATTACTTCATCATGACTCATCAGAATCTATTTTTGTAGCATTTTTTGCAAGGGGCTGGAGCCTTGCCCATCCCCCAGTGGCCCAGCACCTCCTGCTCAAAGGTGTGAGCCTGGGCAGGTGAGGTAACTCAAATGCTAAAAGCCTTCAGTGTGTGCAGTGTCTTCAGGGTCTGAACACCAGTTTAACAGCCTAAATCCTGCTATTTACCCTAAGATGACAGTTGCTTTTGCAGGGAGTGACAGGCAGTGCTGAGATTGTATGGCAGTGCCTGTGTTGATTTATTTGTGTATTAATGGATTAAACCCTCAAGGCAGTGCTCTGCAATAAGGCTGCATTTCAGATTAGCAATCCCACACTAATTTCTTACATGAAGGCTCTTATGCTTGACTGGAAGAGTAAAAAATATGTTAACTATGCTAAGAAGGAGATACTTTTCTTGACCATAGTTTATGCAGTTGAGCTGCTTCCCTTTAAACATCCACTATAAATGGTTACAACTGTGAGAGGGTGATGGTACGCCTGATTTCACTGTTTTTCTTGCACATTTCAGCCAGCTTCTTCAGCTCCTCCTTGCAGAGAATCATGTGGCAATGGTGCTGTGCAGCCACGCTGCTGACTGAGACTCAGGACTCAGCAAGTGACTGCCCTAATGTAAGCCATGAAAGGGCTGCAGGGCTCTGGGGATGCTTCACTGGGATCTCTGCTGGAGCTCTGCAGGCTCCTTGGGCATCGTGAGCCGGTAAAACTAAGTCTGACAATTACACTAGCAGCATCTCACTTTGTCTTTTAAGGAAATAGGATGGGGCATGTTTGTGGCTCCCAGAGAAGAGCTGAAGGATGGAGATGGTGGTGGGTACCATCAATAGGGGTACAGTACACCTGGTGATAGGTCCTGGACACTGGAGAGCCTTGGGGATGTCTGCTGGCCTTCCTAAATGGTGTGAGGCCCAGTGTGGCTGTAAGCAAAAGAAATTAGAGTTACATCTTATAGACAATGCCAAGCTCTGCTTTATTTTCATCAGTTTGATCAGTACAAAAGCAGACAGCATAAGTTTCACTTTTTATTCTTTTTTCATTTTAATTACTTTACAAAGTACAAAATATACTGTCATTTATTTTGGAACATTAGGATTTTTTCTTTTTTTCTGTTTTGTTGTGTTTGTTTTTTTTCATACAGTACATAAATCTCAGCTTTTCAGCATAAGACCAGGAAAAAAAAGCAGCATGTGCACTCACTGGGAAAGCAAAGCAGCCACTTCTCAGCTCCATGCCATGCCCAGCACATGATCTCCAGCTGCCGCCACCACTCCCTCTGCCCCATGGTGTAACATCCCCCTCGTGCAGAGGTCACAAAAGAGACTGATGCATTCAGGCTCCCCTGTGCCTTGTGACCTCAAGCTCACAGGAGCTGCTGCCCACATGGTGCTCAGCCCCACTGAGCCCACAGGCACTGCCCACACGGCTGCAGCCCAGAGCAGGGGGTGTAGCCCAGGTCCCTGCACTGGGAGGATGCCCCCCTGCCCTGTCAGTTTGCATTGGTCTGGTAATTAAAGGAAAATAAATACACTTTTTTTTGCACACTCTCCCCCCTTCCCCTAGTGGAAACCTCCATGGGGTTCCTGAGAGGTGAGCAGGGACGAGAGGCTGCAGGAGGCTGGGGTTCCCAGCCCCACTTCAGCCGGTTTGGTGGGTGTCTGAGGACAAAAGTGGTATTTCAGTTACCAAGCAAATACTATATAAATAACTTATTAAATAAAGTCGTAAAAATTTGTGCTTCCTCCCCAGGCTGTCCAGTACAGCTGTTCCAAGCAGCTTCTGCACAGGAGCCTCTCTGCTCTCTTGGCAGTTCTAGGAATTTGGGTTCATGCTGTGGCCATCCTGGGCATCTGGAGGGAATCTGGGCTCCTTCTTGAGTCCAGACAAAGGGGAGACAGAGAGAAATGCTCAGTCTTGTTCAAGCCACTTGAGGCACTAATAAAGTGGTGCTGCACTATGGCCTGAATGTGCACCGTGCAGTGGAGTTGAGGCATAACTCTGCACTCTTCAACCCTTCAGGGTTGATGGCTTGCTGCAGCTTAGCCCAGAGGAACCAAACTAAGAATTTGTCCTAAGTAATAATGAGGAGGATGAGGCTCCCTCTGTGCAATGTTCCCCCTGGACTAACCCTCCCTGGCTGCCTCATGGTCATCACCAGTGTGAGCCAGTGCCGCACTGTGGATCTGCAGCCCAAGTCGTTGCAAGGAGGGGCTGCAAGTCCAGAGCATGTTCCCTGGGCACTGTGACCCAAATCCCAGCAGCACCAGGACCTGCTGGCATGGTGGGAGCAGGTGAACATGTTAACCAAATTGAGGTCATCATCCCCCTCTAATTTTAGTTAAAACAAGGGGAGAATGGACTTTGTGGGGAGGGAGTGAGACAGGCTCTTCCAAAGGCTGAAACAGAGCATCCAAAACTGGATCCTACTGTGAATCACTGCCTGGCAGCCTCCTCCTCTGCCTGTCCCAAGAGCCATGGTCATCCTACTGCTCTGTTCACCAGGATGAGTGTGTTCCCTCTCTGTCATGGCCGTCCTCAGCTGCTGCAGACACAGCACGGAGGAGGAGGATGCACTGGCAGAAACCATGACTGCCACAGTGCTAAAATGAATGTCCTGCTCCTCAACTTCATGTCTCACAAGCCCCAGCGCCAAGCCGGGAGCCCATGCATGGGGGAGGGATGACAGAATACCCAGCCACAGGCAGCAGGGACAGGGTACAGGACATTGCTGGCTGTGACACTGAGCACAGTCCTGGGCTGGAAAGAGGCAGGTGAGTGTCCCTACCCTCTGCATTTCCAGGTACTGACCCAGGGACTAACAGCACTCAGGTGCAATTCTCACACCCCTACAATCAATAACCTTTGGACTGGCAGGATTATTTTTAGCAGCAGTAGCAGAAGGATTTGGGGTGAGAAGTGAGAGCAGTCCCGGATCCAGCACAACCAGAAGCACCTAAAAAGACTGCCCTGGGACACCGATCTGCTCCTCTGTTCCACCACACTAATGTTGGAGCAGTTCACAATTGCAGAGCAAATCAAAAACCTGGAGGGAGAAAGCACTGAGACACGGGGCAGGTAGGGGAAGCCTGGTGGGCAGGGCCTGAAGGAGAATGAGGGCACGATTCATTTTTAATTCTATGATACAACTAAAAAAAAGGCCAGGGTCATTGAGCTGGCGCAGACAGCGTCTGCTCCTAATGGTTGAAGGAGAAACTGGGTGCTCCTCCTGCAGTGGCATCCTCTTGGTACCCTGAACCCCCCAGCCCCATGCTGCACCAACATACAAACACACACTGCCAGGGAAAACACAGAGGTTTGTTGCCAGGAAGGAGATGTTAGAACTCAGGGACTTCTGCAAGAGCAGGCTTGGTTCAATAGCCTGCCTACATGTACTGCAGGGGAACAGCACAGCTGGATGGGAGAGCCCCAAACACCCTGTGTCCCAGGGCTGAACCACGGCAGGGTCCCACACCCTGTGCAGGTTGGTCCTGCCTGGAGACAGGTCTGCAGCTCCCACAGTTTTAAAAGCAACACTAGCTCTTCAGGTAATTTCAGTGACCTCAAAAATTGAATCCCATCCCAAGGCTGGCATTAGAAATAATTGCAAGAAACAGCTACAACAAAGGCCGTGGGTTTTTTCTTCTTTGCCCTACACATACAACCTCCTGGCCCCTTCCTTCAGTGTCCCACTTGGCAAATGCTCTTTTGCTCTTCCCAACAACCACAAACTCATGGAAAAGACTATCGGTTTTCTTCAGCAGAAGGGAAATTCACTTCACATCCCCTTCCAGCTGATGGGAATGACTGTGCAGGCAGCAAGGACAAGGAGGGCAAGAGGGTTCTGTTTACTTTGGCTGTCTGTCCCATGTGACCTGTCCCCAGAGCAGCATCCTGCCAGCCTGAGCCTGGAGGCTGCTTCAGCATTTCAGCAGGCAAACAGGGCTGGACTCCTCTTTTGGGGCCCAAAGGAGCAGTATATGCTCACAGCAGTCATCTTGGCAAGTCGGGTGCTTTGAGCAGCATTCCCGCAAGGGCCAGGGAATCGAGTACCTAGAAAATTATGTTTTTCAAGTTACAAAAGAGCTGGTAGGAATAAAGAAAAAGCTTATTACTGTAACTGCAGAAAGCTGGTTTCAAATCCTCAGGACACTGAGCAGATAACAGCAGAAAGCCAGACAGAGCACGGGGACCCCAAACAACAGCAGCCTCTGATGGCATTTTCCCAAACGTACTGTGCAAGAGACACTGCTTCTGCCACAGCCTCACAGGGAAGGAAAACGAAACCACCCCCCAAAGTGAAGGATGAAATTAGCCCTATTTCTGGCATAATCTTTTAGGGTTGGGAGGACACCAGTAAAACAGCTGGGTCTGCCTAGAGAGGGACACAGCAGCCAGTCAGCTCTCCTATGGTATGGGCAGAGGACAGAGCTGGACAGAGGAGAGCAACATGTTCCTGCTGTGCTCTCAAACATATTTCAAAAATTTAAATCCTGCCAGATGCCTGTTGGGCATCTCTGTCCGTCTCTGCTCCAAAATCCACCGACACTTCATTTACAGAATTCTGCAGAATGCTAAAAACTGATGAAAACGAAACCTCAAGGGAGCCCAGGACATTAAGTAGCTGTTTAGCAACCTCCCTTGCTCTGCACAGCTGGTATGGTGCCAAGCTGGGCTGGCCATGGCCACTCTGGAGCTCTGCAGGCAGGGCAGGCAGTGTGTGGCTATCGTCCCTCTGCCGCTCCCTGCACCTTGGCTGCAAAACTTAGGTGCTCTCAGCTGGGAGAAGATGCCTGGGGTTTGTGTTACCTTCGTGGCTGGGCCTTCCCCAAACCTGGGGGTAGGCAGCAGCACAGGTCATCACTGCAAGAGAATTATGGAGCAGGGAGAAGCTATTTGTTGGATATCAGGAGAAAATTCTTTACAGAGAGAGTAATCAGGCATTGGAATGGGCTGCCCAGAGAGGTGGTGGATTCACCATCCCTGGAGATTTTTAAACGCAGATTGGACGTGGCACTGAGTGCCATGATCTAGTAAATGGACTGGATTTGGACCAAGGGTTGGACTCGATGATCTCGGAGGTCTTTTCCAACCCAATCGATTCTATGATTCTATGATTCTATGATTCTATTCCATGCAATCTGCAACTAATTACAAGGGAACATTCAGTCCCAGGCTCTGAACCTGAAGAAAAATGGCTGGTGCTGTCTAGAGAGACCAAGAGACTGTTTTGGCTTAGGCATGTTCCAAAGAGGTACAGAACCCTAAAATTAATACCCTAAAATGCATGTACATTGATACATACTTCATCCATTTCCCCCTGCATAGAAAAGGGGTTGTGCATTGCTCTGTGCTCACCAGATTTGCTGATCAGCCTCCTGCCCACATACCCCGCTGCAGAATCCTGTCCTTTCCTTCACCTGTGCTAACTGGAGTTGGTAGTTCACCCAGCTGCGCTTCATGAGGACTAAATAAAGGAGGACGAGAGCAGCAGAGTAACTCAAGATTATCTTCACAGTTGAGCATTTCCCTCCCAGGTGCCCTGAGAAGGTCCTGCAGCCCCTGCTGAGCATGTGCACAGAGTGTTTCTGTACTGGC